AGTGCTGCTCTCTGATGCTAGTTCAGATACTTGGCATCTCATCTCGGGTGCAAGCTCATCAATGTTTGGGGTCAGGCTCTGAGCTGAGGAAAACCTCAGGATTGAGTGAAGGTGTGCGTGCAATATACCGGCGGGCCAGATCTAATAGTAATTAAAAATTATCCTGCGGGCCGAAATTAAATCCACCAAGGGCCTGATCTGGCCCACGGGCCTTGAGTTTGACACATGTGCTCTAAGCTTTCTAACCATTTAGTTTTTCTTTCACTTTCATTTAGACATTATGTTGTTGTTTGTTGCCTCATTTATCAACTGGCTAAGTAAAACAGTTCAAGGTTAAAATAATAACACTTTTACATGTACAGTAATGTTGATTTCGTCAATAGATAAATATACTTTTTTACTATTAACTTATGATAATTGTCATGATGGATTATTCTGGTGATTATTTTTTCTATTTACCAATGTATTGTTTGGTTTCTATTAATGACACCTTCCCAATGTTTTGTTTTGTCCAACCTCATGATCGAATTATATCTTTCAAATAAAATAAAATGATCAAAAGTTATATCAGCAAATAGTTCCTCCATTGTCAAACGTTTTCATATTTATATATATTAATATGTATATATGTATAATATTTGTAAAGTACCTAGGCTACATACATATTATCAATGAGTCCTTTAAGATGGATTGTATTGAAGTATAACAAATTGAAATAGTCAAGATAAGTACTAAATGTAGTGTATATGCACTTTATATTCTACCACTGCTTATTTCTTATCTTGATTGCTTTAATATGATTATTAAAAACACATGACTGTGCACTGCAGTCATTATAGTTTGGCGCTAGTTATTTTGAATATAGCATTTAGGGGGGGCTAGCAAGCTAAGATGTTAGCACAACTATGACTTGCCACATTTGTCACCCGTATAAAATACTATCCAACACGTGATGTAAACTGTTTTCCTGTAAATGTTGAAACACTGACAGCCTCTTTTATATCACAGCAGAAACTATATGTCACAACGAAGTAGGGTGGTTATTAGCCACCATGCTAACAACAATGCTAACTACGCCAACGGACCCGGTGTTGCTGTCACGACTTTATTTAAGCGGTTAACTAGCAAACTAATGGTGCATATTGTGACTTCAATGAGAGCATGTATATATATATGTAAAGTTGATATAAGTCTCAGCTGGCTCTGTGGCAGCTGGAGGTGCTAGCTAGCTGTCTGCACGAAGCTCCCAGCCTCACATATAAGTAGGAAACAACACGGAGCTAATTAACGATAACATAAGCATTTTGACTCGCTGGATGTCATTTTTAAATCATCTTAAAACTGCGTTTCCCATCCGTGTTATGACTCCCATTCACAGCCCGTCTCTCCCTCTGCCTCTCGGAGATGGCTGTGGGAATAATGCACACTGGGTAAAAAACCAATTTATATACTAACCTCCGAAAAATTTCCAACAATTCCTCCTGTTCGACCACCATGCACCAGTGCAGGAAACGGTCCACGCGCCGGGAACATGTATGACACAAACCGCCCAGGAAGTGCGCCGGACGTTAAAGCAAATTCTCGTAGTGGCCAAACGGCGGTACTACAGCTTCACCGGGGCAACAAATACATTTCCCTATTGACTTACGTCTGTCAATCAGCGGATATTTTTTTTTAACTGAATCAACTACCCAGTATTAACACTTGTATAGCCCTTATTTAAATCATTAGGGTGTTGTAAAGTGCGCTTAAAAGCTGACTCTCTCCAGCCATTCATTTGACTGAGCAGATAGCAGGAGATCGGAGGCAGGGCCTAAGGAAAACTCAACTGCGCATGCTCTATGGGCCCACATCCGGGTAATTTTGCTCTCGAGTCAGGTCATTTTTGGCTTCATGCGTCACCGAGTAACTATCATAGGAATGAACGGGGTCCCGCCTCCAATGCAGTATCCAGTTCAGCAGAACGCAGAACGCTCCACACGAAGCACCCGCCTACTTTCCACCAATCAAGACACGCTGATTGGTTGGCAAGACCCTAGCTACCATTCTGATTGGTCAATTCGAGGTTCTGTGTTGCTGCTATTCATCTTCCCGGGCCCCTTGCGGACGCCATTCCGCGTCGATTTTCGTATTGTTGACTGAAAATGCGCGGTGTCGTTGTTAGAAAAAATAATATTTAAGCTTCAATTAAAGACGATAGCAAACGGATACTGTGGATTGCAAACCGTAGTGTGCTGAGGAAGATGAATGGGTTAGTTTGGCTGCAACATAAACAGCAATGTGTGGGGAGGTTTTTCGGCATCCATGTTGAAAACAAGGTCGTGTGGGTAAAAAAAGAAGGGGAATGTGGGCAATGGAGTGAAGAAGAGAGGAGATGTGCGGCTGAAATCTGACGGAACAAACTACACACAGCATCACATCTGAAATACAAACCAAGAGCAGCGTACAAAACCGGATTTCAGCTCTTAAATACATTCTAAACCTAAATAGGTCGATGGATTAGAGTTTATAATGTGAGAGAACAACACAAGACACGAATTTATAGGCCTATATAAATAATATGTAATGCATGCATTACAACATTTGCACCAGCTCAACACAGAATACCCATTACAAAATATTTTATTTACATGATTGCAAGTAAATTAAAGTAACTCTATAAAACTCTCTTAAAACAATATCAAAATAAATCAAGAGCAAATTTGAAGGGAAATTTCAAAAATGTACACATAAATCAGGAGAACATGTTTTTGATTATTAGTGCATACATAGGCTTGATCAAATTAATTTTGATCATTTTATTTTATATATTGAACCATTTTATACATATTTATGAGTTGTTGAAGACTGATAACAGTCTGAATCGGCAAGGTAACTAAACAAAGCTTTGAAATTATTAGAATGCAGTAAACAATACAATTTGTGCTTCTGAATTTGAGTTTGTAATAGCCTAAAAGAAAGCTTCCAGAAAGTCTCAGACACCCGTCATTTACATTTGTAATCAATTAGGAAATTAATTAAGAAATCGGATGCTATTCATTTGGATTTAATTTAGCAACGTTCACACTTTCCCCAAAAGCCTACAATATTTCTATTATATTTTAGGGATATTTATTTTTACTATGTTTATTTAACTGCGTATAGCTTTAATAAAGGACAATTAAACAACTCATCTAAAAGTAGAAACATGTGAGTAATAATGAGTAGGAAATAACATTTCTACTTTCCCCCTTATCTAAGATAAAGTTATTGTTTCAATTTCTCAGGATGGGTAAGGGAAATCAGTCTGTTATAATAAAATATTCTGCTTTGATTTGTTGATGCAAAGAGTTTATTTTTCTCCCATCTTTGGGAAAGTATCATTTAAATTATATAATGTACATGAGCTACCACCAACAGTGTTATGTAACACAGGAAGGTTCTCAAGAAATCACGGAGTCACGATTTAATAAAGGGACGTTTTTGTTCCAGACTAAAGTATGAGACACTAAAATAGACCGGATGTATATTCAAAATAAAAGCCCTCATTCCATGCTTTCTTTTTAACATTTAGCATAAAACAGAGCAAAGCAATGAAAGACACAGACAAAGTATTTAGTAACTAATAAGTATATCCGGGAACATTGTAAATATGAATGTAAAAACAATGACAAAAGGGTAATCATCAAAAATATGTATAAAAGCATCGCAATCAAGAATGATAAAGCAGATAGTGGTCCTTTGTTCAAGCCTACTTCTCAAAACCTTTAGATAGATAATCATCAGACAGCGTTTTATTTCATGTCAATTAAATGCCAATCACCATAGCTTCTCTTGGATTTAAATCACACTGTATATTTTACATTTATACATTCAGTTTAATATTTCATATTCCATCCCTCACATATTTATGTACGGAAGTGGATTAGGACCACATTAAAAAAATCCCCTCCAAAATTGGGAGGATTTGAAAAAAAAGTTGTTTTTTTTTGTTCTGAGAAAAAAGTCAGAATTGTGACTTTAATCTCAGAATTGTGACTTTAATTTTCGTAATTCTGACTTTTTCAGAATAAACAAAAAAATTATGTTTTTTTGTTCTGATGAAAAAGTCAGAAAAAGTATTTTTCATTGTTATTGTACAATGACATGTCTTTTATGCTGCTGCAACAGAAACATTTCCCATATTGGGATCAATAAAGTACCATCTTATCTTATCTCTTGTCTATAGTACGGATTTGAATTTTATTTTGAATGCGTAGACCGGAAGTCGCATTATTACCTGTCTGACTTGACTACCTGCACTGCTCGTGATGGGGGTGTTTCCTCTCCTTTAACTCATCATCGGGGATTCCTGTTTATACATTCAGATCACACACACACAATCTGACCCACACAAACACACACACTCTGATCCCCACACACACACACAAACACAGCGGCTCGGCCTGCCTCTGGTGCCCGGGTCATGTTCACCGGGATGCGGGTGGAGAGCAGGGGGGTCTCCGGGGGTCTGGATGCTGCGGCGGTGAGGCAGCAGAGGAGGCTGAAGCAAGCGATCCAGTTCCTGCACCGAGACTCTGCTGACCTGCTGCCGCTGGACGGGCTGAAGAAGCTGGGGACATCCACACAGGGGGTGAGCATCTTATCTATTATGTTTTATTTTAATGTAAGGTCATACGTCATAGCTCATTTCATTGTCACCCTTTGGTGTAAACATGTGCACTGTGATGATGAATCACTATCGGAATCACTAGGTATTTCCCTGGGGGGCGGGGGGGGATTCGGTTTCGTGACACTTACTCCATTTAGAAATAAAATACAAAAAAATGAATTGAAAGGTAAAATAAAACACAATGAAATCAAAGGTAAAATGCATAAATTTAAACATTAAAACAATTAAACGTTTAAAATTTTATGAATTAAAACAAATCAAATAAATGTTAAATTAAAGTATAATAATGAAATAAAAAACAACTATTGTTGTTTTTATATATTACTTGGCTGCAGATTTTGTTATGTTATATTACCATGCCTACATACTTATGCTGATGATCATTGCTTAATCATATAAAATATAATTTATCTAATATACAACCTGTTTACATATCAGATTATCTTTGAATATGATATGATGTAATGATGATGAGAGAAGTAAGTCATATTTTAGACTTTATAATATTTTTAACAATCAATCAATGTTTATTTATATAGCCCAATATCACAAATGTGACTTCACAGTTTGTACAGAATATCAGTATGTCTAAGCCTATATCAGCAAAACTAGGGGCTGAATCTAATCAGCCCTAACTATAAGCTTTATCAAAAAGGAAGGTCTAAAGCGCACTCTTAAAAACGGATAGGGTGTCTGCCGCCCGAACACAAACATGTTTTCTTTGTTATTGTAGCAGCCACATCATATTCTCCAGAAGCGCCTGCTGGAGTCCAAGTTATCCCGGGGCAGGATGAACAACGAAGGCATCAGTCTGAGCTGCACTCACATCAACTCACACGAGGATGAAGAGGAAGAGGAGGACGATTTCATCTATGTGCCCTGCAAGGTGACTAAATGTATTAGAGATATGTAGATTACTTCAAGAGTTCATTCCATTGCAATTGCTTGATAAGAATTAGAATTAGCATCGTGAAATACGAGTTTAGGGAAAATCCCTTCATAAAAAAGGAGCGCGAAGGAGATAGATATCGGTTTACTTTACAATAACACTCATGGCAGCGTTAAAACAAATCACAAGAAACTTACTGAGGTTAAACCATTTATTAGCACCCGAAAAGGAGAGATAAATAATGAAAGGAATGACATACAAGGTGAGATACAGAGAATAGGAATTTAAAAGAAACTTTAAAAGACCTGTGACGAAGATAACTTTGTCACTGACTGACGGCTTCGGGCCTTGTATATTGCACATGTGTTTTATTTTCGAAAAGTGTTCCCCCTCCCGTTCTTTCTGTTGCTCCTGATTGTGTTCACCTGGTGCCCTGTGTTGTCTCCTCCCCCCTCATC